GGCTGGCCGCGCTTCCAGGGTTCGTAATTCCGTGACGGAGCCTTGGACACCTCGCTGAAGCCGTCCACGGCTGCGTCCTTCCGCATCCCAGCGAACGGGGCGGGGGCTGCGGGCTGGCAGGATGTAAAGGTGCCTGCAGCAGGGCTGGAAGAAGCTGGAAAAGCCCTGAAGAGGAACCCCACGTTTGGGAAGAGAGGCTTCACCAGGCTGACGGGGCAGAAGGCAGAACCGGTGGGGTTGAAGTGCACTTTGTTCTTATCCGGGCAGGAAGGCTGGAAAGCCAGATCGGGGCCGGGGGGGCTGAAGGAGAGACAGAGCGGACACAATTAGGAATGGAGACTCCCAAGGGCACGGAGCAGCCACTGGGAAAACACCTGGAGTTGTGCACTCTGCAAAGAGACGGATTAAAACTGAACTGCCTCTGGGAGCTCCTCGGGTCCAGAGCAGCACGAAGAGCCGGGGTTGTTCCGAAAACACCCTTATTTTCAGGAGAACCACCCCTTCTCCTCAAGAGGCTCTGCTGGCCGCGAAAAACCTCCTGCCTGGGAAGGACAAGGAACCACAGGATCCTTTGGAGCGTGCCTGAGGGTCAGCAATTCAGCTTTCGCCTCTTCCCACCAGGGCCTGAGAAGCCACGTTTTTGCTGGAAGTGTTTCCCTAGAGGCTGCTCCCTACTTTTAGGACAGGGTAGGGGTGGGAATTCCGACAACGGAAGGCTCAGCACCCTCAGGATCAGCCTCACTGAGTCCTCCTCTGCCGACAGCTCCTCATACTTACAGAGTTTCCTCAAAGGCCCGGACCTTCTCGCATCCCTCGGGAGGCTCCCGCTTAAACATGTAGCTGTGGTTGGGTCGAGGAGAAGAAGCGAAGGCCAGGACTGGTGAAGGGCTGCCCTCCTCTAGCAGGGGGGAAAAAAAAAAAAAAAAGAGATTTTGAGAAATTTTTAAAAGAATCCAGCAGCTTTCAGGCCCTGGGGCTGCAGGCTATGATACCCCAAAGCTGCATCACTTCATCTGTGTACTTCCCAGCTCCCATCCTCCATCCAGTACTGGAAACCACTGCCCTGGAAGACCATTACTGGAGCTTTAAAAGTCCACGACAGTTCAGCCAACTTGGCTGAGACCCTCTCTCCCATCTCAGCCGCAGCTTCCAGCCCGGCC